TAGTTTCTCCATTATTATTCTGCTAAACATTTTCGCTTCTCTCTCAAGGAAATATAAAGTTGTATGTGGTGAAGAGTGTCGGATTCTTCCAGTAGGGTTACAAGGAGAATACTTGCTTTCACTTGAACGGCGGTGTGAACCTCAAATAAACTTTAACAACGAAGCAGAATTTATAGAAGTTTTCCAACATTTAAATGGGTTTCATAGCATTGGTTCGTTATTCACCTGGAAAATATACATACCCCACCCATTTCGGTAAAAAACAAACTTGTTACAGGGAATCTGAGTGCAACATTATGATCTGTTTAAAACAAAGAGGGAGCCGGGGGTGGGAGACACAAATCCAAACAGTATTTTGCCGGATGCCTATCTGTTGATCGAGTTTATATTGGGCATTTCCAGGTTCCGAAAGCAGCTCCGTTAATTCTCGTGACGATCGCGTGTTTCAAGTAATTACATTCCTGTTGTCTATGTTTCATTCCTCATTTATATGACTAAATTTTCTCCTAGATGATCTCACACGAACTTATGTTAAATGAATTCATGTTGAAATTATATTCATTTCAGCAGACTTCAAGTTACGAAAGCATCTTTCCTGATAGACTGACCAATCAGTCTGATTTAGTAGTATCTCGCATTCCGCTACTGCTAGTATTTACCGGAAAATACGGTTTTGACACAGTTATAGGACGAAACTTAGCATGCTCCCTGAAATCATCCCCACCACCTGTCGTCCTCCTCCCCCACCCTCTCACTAGCTGTCGAGGTTCGGTTCTGTATTGTCTGGTCCGATCGTGATAACTTGCTTGCCATTCCTGTAGATCTGTTCGTGTTGCATTCAGTCGTTGACCCATTTGTGCCGTGTGGAGATGAGCGGGAGTTGCGAGTGTGTGTCTGCGTTTATCGGCAGACCCACAGCAGTTTGTGCAGAGGCAGGCTGCGCTTATGTATGCGTGTGAGTGTGTGTGTTGGACCGGCCAACATGGCAAGTTCGCGTTTGGTCCTGTCCAGTGCAGCAGCAACAACAAAACAAGAATGACAACAATACATCGGATGGGTAAGGCCAATCATCCTTTTTGCGCACAGAGAGCATCAGGCCTTTGTTATCACCCAATTGTTACGACTAGACATATCACCTCCGGGGAAGCATGCGATAATTGTTACGGTGAGACTAGACCGATTACAGCTTGAACAAGACACCTTGGTTCAAATTACTTACCCGGGATGTGTTGCGCCCCTAATCCTTTAAATTCCATCGTGATAAGATCGTGTAGGTAATCAACACCGAAATCGTTCAGAACTCCAAAGTGTTTGTTTGGACAACACAGAAAGTAGCTAAAGGTACCATTTGTGGAACTTAAACACGCACCTCTGATTTGTGTGTTGGTACTATCCCTCAGTTTGCTATTTATTCAACTTGGTCAGGCATGCAATATCTAGGAGAATAGATAGAGTAGAAACCTCTCTTATAATAGACAAGTTATTTTTGTAAAGGATCCCTGGGGAAGATTGGTTGTTGGAGGTCCCGCCTCATCACACGTTCGCTGTGACCGAAGTCCTACCACAAAAAAAGATCATTAGATACATGAACAACCGAGATTTTCAATGTGACAATTACATTCCAAGTCACTTAGCAGGGGTGTCAAACACGTCGTTAAAATCGGGATTGCACCCGCTCATTCCTGTTTCATTAAAACAGTCTACGCAAATGAGGTCACATATTTGACAAACCGGTCTGCTCTTGCTGGTGTGAAATTACCCAACCTTGACTGTTATATCTGATTAGCGAAATATGAACGTGTCGTAAGCTTTGAAGTGGAAAACCGTTCAAATGATCGTGTTGGTTGTGTTTGATATTTAATCTTCATTAGTTGTTTAACAATAAACTCAATTTACATTTGGATCCGGCCTAACTCACCGATGATAAACGTTTGTAGAAAATGCCAACCAATGAGCTACATAAATGCATAAAGCTGTGATTTGTTCAATGGAACTTTGGAAACATGCTAATATAGAACGTTTTAAACAGAAGCGCGACACAAACATTTTATTATGTTTGCTTGTAAGCATAGCTCAAAGAAGCGGATAGTTCTCGGTACCAACAGGCTGGAACGGAACTGTAGATGGAGACACGGTAGTATAAAATTTGATATAATCCTACGAATCACAGGACTTTCTTTTGAGCCCCGTCGAATAAAAGGGCAGTTCTGCTTTTATATCTAACAAGCTTTGACTATCTGTATGCCCTCAGTCATATACAAAGCTGAAAACCAAAGATTTCTGAAACATCACAACATTTTGATTATTGATATAACAACGAAGGACAATGCTAAAAGGGGAACTCGCATGAAAGAAAAACGCTATGAATTTTAATTTTTCAATAAAAGGAGGGATCGTGCATTCAGTTTTTACGGGAACTGCAACAAGACGTCTGACACTTCAGCACGATCGTCATCAATAAATACTCCAGAGAATTATGTTTGCTTCACTTTTTCGAGGGCCACGGGCATTAGCTACGTGAAGCAAAAGTTGACGTGCTTAAAATACACAGGTCGTCACCGTGAAAAAAGTTTGATTAACGAAGTAGAAAAATACTGTCTATGGAATTTTGCATGACAAATGGTGTGAATAAACAACTCACCAAATACTTCGCCTATTGGTCCTATAGCTGGCGATCCTGCTTCAAAATATCCTACGAGTATTTTTTGAACAAACCAAAATAAAATCAAGCTATTATTAATTTTCTGGGGACTTACGCCAAACTTTCCAGAAATCAATTTTACCATTCTGTTACGGGAGCCTAATTCAGAAGTGAGCTCAGCAAGTAAAACAATTATAAATGGTAATTCATCGACCGCTGGGGTCAACTGTTAAATCGGCAACTGGGACTCTACCGTATTGGTCGAACAGACAATAAACATTGTCCCTATTCCAGAAAAATCGACAAACACGGTGAGTTCCGCAGAGCAATAAAATATTCAGTGAGAATTGTCCTTGGATGCTATAATTCTATATTTACCGCTACAAAGTCCGTTGGACATAATATGTGTGATTGCCACCACGGTTATACAGAACACAGTCCTAAGTTCTGATTTCAATTAGTAAACCTTATACTCAGTAACGGGAATAAACATGTGGAGCTCGAAAGGACACACAGAAAATTATTAAATCAACACAAAATTCTTAAACACACACAAACAAAGGGAATAAATTTGCTACTTTATCTCGTTTCAAAACGTTTACATGCATTCTGTATTCAGCAAGCTGCAAATGTACTGAAATGAAAACGCTTATACGCGTTCTCAACCCGTGATGCCAGTTCACACGTTTCAGCCGAAAAAAGAAGAGCCACAGTTATCTTATTTCCCTGAAATTATGTCTACACTTAAGCGTGTCTAAGAGAATGTTGGTTCTGAACGAACACCCAATTTAATGCACTATATAATACCAATGGTAGTGAAAGTTCTGAAAGAACAGATTAGTTCTCGCTACACACTAATTTTGTTCTGATGTGGCCGAAGGTGGTGTTAATCCAAACGTTAGCAGATTTATCCGCGATTATTTCAAAAATAGAAGGCAGTTCACGTACCTTCACGGCAAAACGCCTTCCACTCGCTAATTTGCTACTGAGGTTCTGCAAGGTGCAATATTTTACCCATTTTTCTTTTCCTTTTCTGCCAAATCACTTCCCATTCGTCATACATTCATTGGCTGTAAATACGCAGATGACGTTGTTTTAGGTTGTAAAGCATCCACCCCTGAAGAGACTTAAGAAATTCAAAGCAAAATAAACGACGTTGTTAGTTGGTCCTTGTTCCGATCTCTCTCGTTGAATGTCGGGATGTTGTGTTTCCCATCCTCCTTCACAGATAGGTTCCCCACTTTCTCTGCCAATCAACAACCTGTATCAAAATCACCAATAGTAAAATACCTTAGCGTCACCTTATCACAAACCATCGAACACGGACATTGCATGCTCAAATTACATCCTGTAATATTAGAAAGCTTTCATATTTCTCACTCCGATTGAGATTACTCTCCATTCCCCATAGGCTGATTGTTAGGTTTGTGAATACATACTTGCTACCCCACTAGTTGTATTGCTCCCCAGCGATTTTCCCGGTTTGTTGATTAAAGACTATTACTTACTGTTGAGATTTCTTAAACACATCTTTAAATGTGGTGGCACTGTCAGGGATAAACTCGCCGATTCTATCATTCACAGATACCTACACGCATGCGAAAGTTTCACCGCCAAAATACTCTCAGGCACTCACCATCCATTACACAATGAGTTTCCAAAAGCTATATTTACATCATCCACGCCCTAAAGATTTAAACTGTTATTTACATGTACCTCAGCTTATCGTAATTCGGTTCTATCATATCTAGCACATCTACTTATTGACAGATAGAAAGTTTCCACACCATTGCACACATGCTTGCTTCATTGACTAACACAAAATCCCTTGCTTTTAGTTTCTTTATTTATGGTTTTTAAATTGAGTGTCAATGTTGAAAACTCACCCATCCGGATGCATAAAGCTTCAACTGAATTGACTTGATACCGTATGCATACTAAGAAATGGTTCTGTTCCGTAATGAGTAGTGAACAATTACAGTTGTTCGTCTATTTTTTAAGTGGTTGGGTACAATTTGTTATTCATTGATAAAATCATTTTTCGTTAAACAGTTAGTTGGTCAACAAAATTCCATCGAATCAAAGGGATGCTCTTTTCAATGTTACCCGCCACCAATTCATATAAATCACGTTTAATGTACACATCATTTTCGACTTTAAACAGAGCGCAGGACATCAATACGTTCACCTCCAGTCTATTGGTTTATTGTCGTGGAATATCCTGATGAAAAGTGATTTTTATACGGCAATCAATCTTTCAATGATTATAATGTAGGTGTTACTCCATTTCAAAATGTTACAGAATCGGTGCAATCAAAATTTCCTTTGAATCACCCCTGCAATCGGAGGCTGACCACTCATGTCAACCCAAGTGCAATCATTGCCGCTGACGACCAGCAGTGCGAACGGTGCAGCAACCACTTACGTAGTTCCAACGTCGGCCAATTCGTTGATCGACGATCAATCAGACACTCGTTCCTCGGAATGCCTGAACTATATGCAGACAAACGAAAACGGCACAGTTGGGGGGGAGAATCAAACCAATCTGATTGTGAACTATTTGCCACAAACCATGTCTCAAGAGGAAATGCGAGTGCTGTTTGCGAAAATCGGCAAACTGGCCAGCTGTAAACTGATTCGAGATCGCACAACAGGTTTGTACATTTGCCCACACAAAGTAAGACTGTGTTATGTGCTTTCTGTTCGGTCAGCTAGAAAATAGACGATTGTGTGACAGTGAATACGAATTTGATGCTCCCCTAAAGGCTAAAAGTTGGATTATTCTACCCAAGAGCATCTATTCTATAAATAAATCCGTTCTGAGAAATCGGTTTATGTTTGTTGCCCGATAAACAGTTCTAATAAAATTTAATATCAGGCAAACACAGATAAAGACAAATTAGGTTGAACAAACGGATGCCCGGTTTGCATTACCACTCATGAAAATATTAACCGAAATATTTATCTTTTAGAAAAACATCAATCACTTTTTTTCACAAAATTTTGGGAAAAACAGCTTGTAAACAAGGAAATTTATACAATCATTGAAGTACTGCTATAAATAAGGAGCACACATGCAAGGTAGTTTCACTGTCTGTCGATTTACCCTACTATGGACTATCACAGACAATAATCTGAGAAGACCATTTGCGACCATTTTTTGACATTACCATTGACATTGGGGTGCGTATATTTGAACAAAGATCAGCAAAGTGCCGTGAAAACAAATCGCATATTAGCAGTCAGTGGGTAAGAATATCATTCGCCATTGTTTTTCGAAAACAATAATGCCTAATTTCTGTTTGGCAGCCCGCAACCTCAGATAACGGTTGTCTTTATTTTTGAAAGAAATCCTCGGTTTGTTGACCATACACAACATAATAAGTATTTTGGGAAGGCTCAAGCGCCGAGTTATGCTCTTTTGGCACAGCTTTGTTTCTCATTTTAGTAGATTTCCTCAGTTTATGCCATCGTTTGACTTAACGATTACATCTTCCAAACAAGCGAAGTTTCATAACATTGTATTACCCGTAGTAGAAGTGCAAACAATGATTGGCTAGCTTACCAATAACCCGAATTTTTGCAAGCTTTCTGCCCCAAATCTCTAATTGCGTCAGTATATTGCACTTGTCAGTAAACGTGCTGATTTGTCCTTTACCTCCGCCATATCCTGTCAGAAACTCACTCTTCTTTGAATCTGCTTGTAAACGTCACAGCAACGGAAAGCTTTTTTGGAATCTCTGTACTGCTGATGGATATTTTTAGAGAATCTCTTCGGCTGCTGGTAACAACTCCAAGTAGCACTTTCTTGTCTTGCTTGTTCTAAGCAAAAATGATAATTGTCTATTACCCATGTTAGACGCAATCTGGCAATGGCTAGAGGAACGCAGAAAGCTCTTGCAACACTTTATCCACGCATCACTCGCAGTAAATGGTGCACCTCACAGTTTCGGAATCCACAACAGATCTCAAATAGACGTTTATCAAATAAACATATGCGAGTCTGTTTCAAACCACAAGTATATTTACCAAACATGGTCCGGTTATTAGGCGTTTTTGAATTCAACAGCAGCACAATCAATCCAGTTTAGCAATGACCAGTTACTATGTTTTAAATTGTTTGCACGAGCATCGCTCCACCTTGGAAAAGGTGTGCCTCCAGACCACAACAAACACTCAATTGGCCAATGTCATGGTCCATTGGTCGGTGACTATTAGTTATATTAATTCTGGAACTGAGGAGACTAGCCATCTTGCATCAGACAATTTAATGGACAAAGGACTACTACGACCGTTTTTTTCCAGCAAATATGTCATTGTTTGTTGGTCAGAAGTGTGTCTGGTTATTAGAACTCTGCATAACAATACTATGGTCTGAATAGGTTTTAAGACATTAGTTCATTTCAGCTGTGCACGACGTTTGTGTTTTACACTAACACACAGACATGTCCATTCTCAGACCCGGTTAATCTCCAGCTGGAACCACCGGTCGCGAGAATTGCAGCGCTATAGTCACCGAAGTGCGAGGAGCAACGGCTCACCTGTCATGGCTGACGGACACTGGGTTGTCTGAACTTATCCCTTTTTCATCCTCTCCTCCGACTGTTTTACAACCCAAACAACAGTAAAAGGCTAATCAAGTTGATATATTGATAGAGCCGAAACAACCAACAGCTGAATTACAAATGAGTTGTATTGAAAAACTTAAACGAACATCTTTTTTGTAAAAAGATGCAATGTGATTTCAATGCGCTACAGGTAAATACGCAAATTCACATCAATCCCAATGAACTTACATACTCACTCATGGCATTCAAGGCGTGCCTATGTATGTACTAAAGCCGTTGCTCAATGCATTAGAGCATAATTGAAATGAGTGGCCTTTAATAGTGACCCAGAAAAGAGTGCCGTATTTGGCTAGTAAATGATGCACCTTAAACTAGCTTGTTTGAAAAGAGAACTCCAGGTGCAGTCTGCGGGGATCTTCCAGGATCTTTAATTGGTTAAACATTTTGGTATTCGCACCCAAAAAGTGCTTGGAAAAGGATGCAACTAGTCTGAAACAAATGGTCCCATTCTTTCGGTGAATAGCTAACCGGAATAAGTTTATTCGTTACAGATAATCCGTTGGAACAGTTTCCTATGCCTGTGGGAATTCAGGGTAAATGACCCGATATTGACTTCTCATTTGTTTTATGTGCGGTTAGCGCAGGTCACCCGGATCTGGAATGAAAACACTACCAAAAGGCTGTACACATATGATTCACTACAATCACATCTGTATGATAGACGAGTAGAAAGAAATCATACCTTGTGTGTTTTGAGCCGCCCTCCTCCCTGTTCCTCGCCCCTTTGATGCACTAGCAGCAAATATCTAAATCGAATGTTATTCTCTGTTTCAGGTGACACACACAAAATGGAATTGATTGAATGACTTATGTTTGTCACGTTGCACATTGAAAACGTTCGTTTGTCGTTCTGTGCCTTATATTTGATCATGCGAGCCCATACACCGCCCACCTGGGACATACCGGGGTGAAATTCCCTTGAGGTAAATTGCAATCAATACACACATCTGTGCGGAGAACAGCTGCACATTGATGTTTCGAGTACTATACCCACCTAGCCACCTGCTAATGGTACACCAGAGATCCAAAGATGTTTTGGTGTCGATCAGGCTGAATGTAGTTGAACGGTAAAAGTATACACTTGTATCCAATCTGTGAATGCACGGTAAGATCCGGAGTATCAGGTGGTAACTGAATCAACCGCACCCTATTTACGTACTTATCAACCATATTTTGGATACTACTGATGAGGAAATCGACTTTCATGATACATTGTTTTCCATGGAGAATGATATTTGCCCAAGGATAATTCATTTCGTTGAATTCACGGAATATTTTTACCATTGCACCTACGAATTTCCCACTACTAATTGGTTAAAGCCCAACTGAAGCCAAACTCATGTGTGAAGCACAAGCATTCTGGCGCTTATTATTAATGAGAACGTTTGACTGTACCTTTTACTTCGGTAATACGATAGCAATATAATCAGTCACGGGGTTGCCCAAAAATGACCCAAATTCTAACGAAAACGCTGATGATAACGTTTTTTTTCTTAACTTCGCAATCCAGTTTCAATTCATTGAGGAACATATGTGTTCTATTTCTCGGCTGAATCTCTGAATCATGTACAAATTACTTATGGTTTAGTATAGGACCACAATAAGGCTGGCATAGTAGCACAGGCAATTATTTTCATCGAAAATTCGAATACAGTTTTCGCAGAAAATTTGTAAGATATTTGAGTTTCAAGCCTAGCTGATTTTACTCGGCTTATCAGGGACTCCGTTGTTCAATTTCCAAAAATCCATCACCAAACTATCTGAAGTAGGAGTTTTGAGTTATTATGTTATTGGGTTTCATGAAGTAATCTTACGCTGTGAAAACGCTTATACATTCAACCCGGTGTGCAGTTGATAGTGCACTTGTTGAATATTCATAGTCATTCGTTGGTAGCATTTCCTAATTGAGTTCACGTTTGTCTATTGCGAGTTCAGTAATGCAGAGGGTGTTATGCTGTTTATACTGACCTTACAAATATCGCTACAAACTCCAAATCTGTCTGCTCTCAGAACGACAACTCTGGTTTTTCACTTAAAGTTTGATAGCATTTTTCTGAAGTATACAGTTGACATATGGCGAACATACTGCTGATAGTTGTCAGATTGTTGCTCACTCGGAAAAATGTTTCGTGACAAACAGTGTACTTTGCACCTGTTACCTCTATTCCTACGGGATATGTCAAGAACGTTTGTAAACGCATTATACTGATTGAGCGCTTGAGGAACACTATTACACAGGCAATGCTCTCACTTACTCTCCTCATGAATGTTCAGCCCCGTCGATTTGCTAACCGTTTCATTAGGAAATCGAATTGGAGTTTATTACACAGTAATTACTGTAGTTTTGAAGCCTCTGGACTATGTTGCCAACGGCATACGCTATAATGCTCGTTATAACACAGAATACCGACCCAAAGTCACTTCTGCAGCACTCACCAAATCCAGTGAAAGGCAGCGGAGTCCCTAACCAGCTACAGTTGCTTAGACATTTCAACAAAGCACATTGGATATATAACAAAGAGTGACAAACAAGGTCTTTGTCAGTGATTGCTGCACGTAATAGAAACCATCATCTCACAGATTACAGTGGATTCATAATGATTGCATAGATATTTGTTCATTGATAACTAAGTGCAGGTCTGTCGGGATGTTGAGTAAATGGTTCACAGGATACTAAATCCATGCATGTATTGTTTTGTGACACAGAGCTGTCTGTAGGAATTATTTCCTACCGCTCACTATAATGCCAATATATGGCAGTGAACTTGTGCGTAATGTTGACTGTAAGCCAGTTATAAAAGGCGGAATGAGCTGATCGCGTTTACAGCGCTATTGGTGTTAGCCTGATCTGTAGAACCTGTACAGTAGACACCGCCCTCATTGTCCAAATGTTCATCCACGTACGGTAGTGTTCCCACTTGCGTTCGGACAATCGCCGGTCAGTGTGGCCTATGCAGCTCATTATGCATATCTCAACACAAATGAGTACATGCATAATGGGAAAGCGAGTTAGGGCATTTTTCGATTTAATGTGGAAAGACATATCGGTCGCCTTGTAACTGATGTTAAAGTTCGTACGAGATGCATAGATTTGATATGACTGGAAAACTAGGCAGCAGTTGAATTATATCACGGCATCTTCTCATTTAAGAGTTCCTTATTACGTCCTTTAATGTAGACACTAAATAACACATTCAAAATTGAGTCACGGAAAAATTAAATATTTAAATGGACAAAGATAACGTTTAAACTTTAGAAGTGTTCCTGTAAATATGAAGATCACTGGAACAACCAAAGCAGCGCAATGTACGAGTCGAACAAACTTTAGACAATAGTACGTAACGATTGATGAACACAGCTTCACATGCTAAATTACGATATACACAAAGCTCTTTGACGCCTTAAGGATGAATACATCAACACCTACATAAAGCCAGACGCTTGTAAATTTCATCGCAGTCGATCGAGAAAGACATTATTTATCCGACAAAAAGCAATCGCTCCAGTTTTCCGAAAGTTATCTGTAAGGTAAAACATGCTGAAAAATAAGTACTGCGACAAATTAGTTCCATTGAATGCCTATTACACATAATGTGAACCGGGCTACAATAATCCGTTTATCTTTATCGGTTCAT